CCAATTCCTAGAGCTGGGAAAAAACCCAGACAACCCGAGATCTGCCAAGGTCAGGAAGAAGCAGAGTGGTGGTGGATATATGGTGAAGGACAGGAAGATCTGGTATGCAGGTTGGAGCCAGGTGAGGAAACGACCTTCTCAGAGAACCGGTCGCTCGCAGATTCAGTAATGTGGTTCAAGTTCTTCCAGAGTTCAGGAAATGCAGATTAATAATGATTTGAGAGAAATCTAAGCAAATTAACAATGGAAATAATTTTAACACTCATACCCCTGAAAGATGTATAGCAAAAGAGAACTGTCATGCACTATGTAAACATTTCTTACTGATTTATCCAAAATAATCTTAATGGCATTGAAAGCATGAAGACAGAGTAAAGTATATTTTTGTTGGGGCATAAAATACTCAAATCATCCCTTTCCATAACAGGAAAATAAAGTGTCTCTAAAATTGAAAACCAATGCAAGACAGCAGGATGGATTTATCATTTACAATGGGAATTATCTCTTTTTAATATATAAGCCTGCACTGTTATTTCAAACAATTCACATATATGTGCTTATTTGGTTAAAAATTAAATTTAGGGCCAGGGATTTAGCTCAGTGGTTCCACCACCTGCCTCACAACCGCAAGGACCCAAGTTCGATCCCTGGTACCAAAAATATATATATACACACACACACACATATATATATATATGTGTGTGTGTATATATATATGTATATATATATTACATTTAGACATGGGGCATAGTGGTGCACACCAGTAATCCCAACATTCTGGAGGCTGAGCTGAGGCAGGAGACGCACATATTTGAGGACCCTGGGCTACAAAGGAAATTCAAGGCCAGCCTGAACTGCATAGCACTACTCTATCTCAAAAAAGTAAACACAAAAGCAAAGTGAAATAAATTTAGGGCTGAGGGTGTAGTTCTATGGTAAAACACTTGCCTACCCTGTTGAAGGTCATGGTTTCCATTCCAGGGCTGAAAAAAAATGAAATTTGAAATGACTAAGGTAAGCACAATAAGAACAGAAATAGAATGAAAATATTCCGAGCAGACAAGGGAAGTATGGGCACAGAACAGAGACAGGAGAGGGACCTGGCTTGCTGGGCTGAGGTATAGCAGATCACGTACACCAGGGGCCTCTGCCCTCCCCACATTGAGAAGCTTTGAGACTCAGACTGCCTCTCCCAGATGTCCTTGAAGCTGGAACTGTGGACTCAATTTTGGTTCTTCCCATCCGGCTCTGTCTTAGGAGAGTAGGGAGGTGGGCAGTAAAGCAGGGTCTGTATGTGTGTGTTTCTGCTACAGCCATTTATTTTTTTTTGGTACTGGGGATCGATCTCAGGACCTTGTGCTTTCAAGGCAGGGGGCAGAACCACTGAGCTAAATCTCTGGCCCTCTGCTACAGCCACTTCTGCAGACATGTCCACAGCTTCTCACTGCAACACTTGGTAGTCTCGCCTTATCGGTGACTTTATCAAGACCACCATGGATACCTGGCACGGTGGATGGTAGTGAACCCTATGTTTATGTTTCTTCTCATTCATTCTTACCATAGATGTAACAATCTTACCCTATATGTATTTTGTTGTTGTTGGGTTGTTTTTTTTTTGGTACCAGGGATCGAACTCGGGTCCTTGCGCTTGCGCAGCAGGCAATGAAACCATGTTGTTGTGTTTTTTGAGACAGGGTCTTGCTATTCAGGCTGGCCTTGAACTCACTATGTAGTCCAGGATGTCCTCAAAGTCTCTGTGATCCTCCTGCCTCAGTCTCCTCCCAAGTACTGGGACTAGAGGCATGTGCCACCATGCCCAGCAGCATGCAATTAAAAAAAATTCCTTATCATGTTGCAAAATTTTCCTCTCTCTCTCTCTCCCTCCCTCCCTCTCTCTCTCTCTCTCTCTCTCTCTCTCTCTCTCTCTCTCTCTCTTTCTCTCTCTGTACTGGGAATTTAATCTCTGATATTGCACTGAGATGCATCCCAGGACTTTTTTTTTTTTTTTTTTTTTAATTTTGAGACAGAATCTCTCAAAGTCCCTAAGTTGCCCAGGCTGGGGTGAAAGTTGCAGTTCTCCTGCCTCAGCCTCCCAGACTGCTGGATTACATGGCTGTACCACCACTCTCAACTTACCTTTTCTCTTAAAAAAAAAGTACTTTGCAGCTTCTTTTTGGCATACAGTATTAAAATTGTCAGCATCACAACTCCTGCAGGTTGGGGATTTTTATTAGGTAAAGTAAAGGTTACCTAAACACAAGCTTTATGAGACGATGACATTTGACCTGATACCTGGGATGGCTACTAGGTAACTAGCAGGCAGGTGGTGTACATAGTGTGGATACCCTGGAAAACAATGACTCACAGCCAAAGCAGCACAGAATGGAACGGCACAAAATTTCATCATGCTGTACAGAATGGCGAGCAATTTAAAACCTATGATTATTTATTTCTGAATGCTCTACTTAATACTTTCAGACTGTTTGGTGGAGGGTAAGTGAAACCTTAGAAAGTGGAACTGTGGATAAAGGAGGACTATTCTACCTGTATAGTTCAGAAGTTTGCCCCTAAGTTTAGTGTCAGCTTTCTAGTTCAGGAGGCAGCTTCCTGATTTTAGAAGAGGTAACGGCTCCTTTGGTGGCTGAGTCTTGCAGCCAGGCTGTAAAGTCACCCTAAAGATTCAACCATCAAACAAGTCCTTAAGCCACTTTAGATCCTGTAGTAAATCCTTGTGTACTAAAACTATTTAGATTCTGTTGTCTAAAACTGAACTCAGTCAATGTAACAGGAAAACAGAAAGTAAAATGTAGAGAAAAAGCATAGTAAACAGGACAAAGTACAATAGAGACATAAACCCAATTTTAGTAACACAATCAAAACTAGACTGGATATAGATGAACTAAAATATACTTTCAGATTAAATTTTATGAATTATCCAGCTATATGCCATACACGAGAGGCATAAAAATAACGGAATGCTACCCAATAATTAAAACAAATGAATTGACATGATACTAAATGCAAAAGTTGAAAAAAGATTACTCAGCAAACTGTCTTTTTCATTTTTATTTATTTATTTTTTATTTTATTTTTTTTTGGTACCCGGGATCAAACTCGGGACCTTGTGCTTTCGAGCCAGGTGGCGGAACCACTGAGCTAAATCCCTGGCCCTCATTTTTGTGGTACTAGGCATTGAACCTGGGGCCTTTGCACTGAGCTACATCTCTAGCCCCTTTTTATTTTTTATTTCAGGACAAAGTCTCACTAAGTTTCTAAGTTACCCAGGCCAGGGATGAATTTGTGGTCTTTCTGCCTCAGCCTTCCAGACTGCTGGGATCACAGGCATGTGCCACCATGCCTGGCCCATTTTTATAATTTTTTTTTTGTACTAAGGATCAAACTCAGGACCTTGCGCTTTCGAGGCAGGCACGGTGCCACTGAGCTAAATCCCCGGCCCCATTTTTTTGGGGGGGGGGCGGGGGGTATCGGATCGAACTCAGGTCCTTGAGCTTGCACGGCAAGGGGCGAAACCACTGAGCTATATCCCCGGCTCCCCGGCCCCATTTTTATAAAAAATTTAAAACACAAAATCGCATGTTATATATGCAATTTCTGGATCCACAGACCATATGTTATAAAAGTGTTAAGACATGAGCAGTAATGTTATGTGTCAACCTGAGCCCAGGGACCTTCTCTAAGAAAGAAGAAAGAATGCGGCTGGGCCTTTAGTTACGTCTAATTTTATGTGTCTATAAATCTAAGAGTATACAGCAAAACGCCTTTTAAAATGTATTTATTTGCAGTGCCAACGATCAAACCCAAGGCCTCGTGCCTTAGATAAGAGCCCCACACTCAGCTCCATCCCCAAGCCCTGCAAGATGTTTAGACATCGGTTTAATCTCCACAATAAGGTGCCGGTGTTAGGAAAGTTATTTTTTGTACACTTGTGCATGTCTCTAGCACTTCTTAATTTACAAAACTCAGACACAGGCACCCAGGCTCTCGTGTGCACGTCAACATTGACGCTGACAGGCTGGTCTGAAAAGGGGGAATCGGCAGCTGAGGCCTAGGGTGCAGAGGGCCCGGGGTCCCCAGGCCAGACGGCGTCTCAGACTAGGAGGGACCCGCGGCCGTTAAAGGCCACAGGCTGCTCCTGGACTCCGATGCGGGATTAGGTGGGGTCGCCCGGCTTTTATGCCCCAGGAAACCGCGTCAGGGGGGACGGAGCACCGGGAAAAGTCTTCAAAGAGTCCCAAGAATCCAGAGGCCACCCCCAGTTGGGCGCTCAGTGCACGGGCGCCCCAGCAGCCCCCCACATCGGTGGCGTCCGGCAGGGCTGAGCAGCTCTCTGCCCCGCCGCCACAGGTCCTGCGCAGCTGGGGGCGGGGCCTAGGGCGGGTCGGACCCGAGGGGCGGGCCTGGCTTGGCGAGGGGCGGGCCCTGAGGCGGGGCGGGGAGTTCCTCGGCCAGCTCCTGGCCGCTCGCTGGCTCCGGGACAGCGGCGGCTCCTCTGCCGGGTCGCGCTGCACGACGGGCCCAGGCGGTGGCCAGGGCGGCCTGCTCACAGACGGCGGCAGAGACGCGGGTCCCCGCCTGTCGTCCCCACGTCTGTGAGTGCCGCGCCGCGCCATGGCCGCGTCGCCGGGCTCGGGCAGCGCCAACCCGCGGAAGTTCAGCGAGAAGATCGCGCTGCACACGCAGCGGCAGGCCGAGGAGACGCGGGCCTTCGAGCAGCTCATGACCGACCTCACCCTGTCGCGGGTGAGGGCCGGCGGGCGCGCGCGGGCGGGCGGGAGGTCGCGGGAGGTCACGGGCCAGGCGCGGGCGGCCCGGGGCCCCGAGAGGAGCTGGAGAGGATCCCGGGGAGCCCGAGGAGCCGGAGAGGAGACCGGAGGCCGCACGCGCGCGCCGCTCCTGCCCGCCCCCGCCGTCGGCGCAAGGCCGCAGCCCGGCGCAGCCCTCGGTGCGGGGTCTGGTATAGGGTGCGGCCTCGCTTCACCCCGCCGAGGCGTCGCGGCGGGTCCACGTTGCTTCGTTCGGCACCAGCTACTTAGTGACAACTGACAAGGTGCGCGGCGTGGCCGGCTGCCGAGTGGGTCCCGGAGGGAGGAAGCTGTGAAGCGCGAGCCTGTCCTGCAGCTGGCCAGGGCTGGGGGCGCAAGGGCCGAGGTGGACGGGGACCCTCGGAGCGCGGGACGAGGTGCAGATGCTCGCGGGAGACCGGCGGGCGACTTGGGAGCTCATAGTCCCTGCTCCCTGAGCCACAGTGTTGTTTTTGGCTGTCAGAGCGTTTGGGGAAAACTTTGAATCTGCTGCCAGAATTTTTGAATTGGAAGATTTTCACATAACGTTTAAATTTACTTATTTATATTAAACATTGGGAAACTCGGTAACTCTCATCCTGAGTTCTTATGTGGCACCTGGGGCTGGAGCCTGGTGGGAGGCCCCTACCACCCCTGCGTCTCAGTCCCCCACGTGGAGGGAGGCCACATATTTATGGTAGTGTTTTTTTTGAAGTTCAGGGAAAAGTGAAGCACTTAATGTACTAAGAAAAAATATAGATGGATAGAAAAGAGATAGAGATGAATACTGAGAAAAAAATAAAGATGCAGAAAGCTGAAAGATTTCAAGATACTTTTTTTCTTTTGCCCTGATCAGCTTTGCTCTTTGCCAGTCTGCCATCCGTAGGCTTTTAGGGTTGTGACCCTGGTTGGATTGAGGGATGAGTTTGACCAGCTCAAAGCAGGTGAACAAGAGTGGGTGGGTTACAGCTGAGGATAAATGTTGAGGCCTGTGTTGTTTAGATGAATTGTTTATATACAAATGTATTGTACTAATGTGTACACTAGTATGTGTTTGTGTAGCTAGAACTGATCTAATCTTTCACCCAATTCATGAATCCACTTTAAAAACATCCCCCACAGGTGAGGTCATGAGTAATATACTACATTCAGACTCTTTTTTTTATTTTTGTCTCTTTGTTTTAGAGACGGTCCCACTGTGTAGTACAGGCTGGCTTGAACTTGCAGTCCTCCTGCCTCAGCCTCCTGAGTAATGCATCTATAGATATGTTTCACTACACCCAACCAGACTCTTTTAAAGGCAACTTTTCATAAATCTTTAGTACTAAATTAATTTGATTATATTACTTAAGTATGTTCAAACAAACTTGTATATAGAGTGCTTCATGCACGCCTGTAATCTGAGCGCTTGGGAGGCTGAGGAAGGAGAATCTCCCTGAGTTCAAAGCCATCCTGGGGGCTGGGGATTTAGCTCAGTGGTTTGCCACCTGCCTTGCAAGCGCAAGGATCCAAGTTCAATCCCCAGTTCCAAAGAAAAAAAAACAACCCCATCCTGGACTACATAGGGATACCCTGGTTCAAAAAAAAGGAAATGTTTTGCTTATAGCTATGTACAACCATTAGCCAAAATTCGTGTGTGTACAAAATGTACTCCAAGTCACAAATGGGGTAAATTCAAATTAATAATGTGACAAATGCATTATCTTGCCATGAACCCAGGGCCTTCACCCTGAGCTGCAGCCCATCCTATTTATTTATCTATTTGTGCTAAGTTGTGCTAAGTTGCTAAATTGTCCAGGCTGGGCTGAAACTTGCTATCTTCCTGCCTCAGCCTCCCAGAGTGCTGGGATTATAGGCATGTATCATCATGCCTGGCTCACACATGCTCTTTTAGTGAACTGAAAGGAGGCTGTTGATGTGAATATGTTGAGTTTAGCAAGCCTAATCAACTGTGGCTCATATAATTCAGTCACTACTTTATTCTGATTACTACAAAATTATAATGTCACTTTACCTGTTGCCTGGTACAGGAAATCATTTATATGTTAATTTTGCTTGTGTTTTCTCTTTGGCCAGTTGCAAGTGATGTAAATACTACTTGGTTCCTCTGTGCTCATAAACATGAAAATGATAATACTGAACTTGCCTGTTAATATTTTAAAAGTTTAAGGTTTATTTTCATAAAGAAATCACAAAATTGAAACATTTCTTATATAGAGCTTTTAGGTCCCCAAGCACATGTGTATGAACCTACAAAGGTCTAAAGATCTCAACTGAGCTGAGCAGGGTAGTGCCTGTAATCTTTGAAATCACAGCATTCAGGAGGCTAAAGCAGGAGAACGGTGAGTTTGAGGCCAGCCTGGGCTACAGTGTGAGTTCAAGGCCAGCCTGTATAGTGAGGCCCTGTTTCAAAAAAACAAAAACAGAAACAAGCAAGCAAACAAAAATGAAAAGATCCCAACTGGCATCTAGCTTATACTTGGTAATTGGATGATTAACACACTGACTATTCATTGCTGGCTCTCCGCAGACTTGCTCATCGACAGTGCAGACATCACTAATTGATCTAGGTCCCCCTTTCCTCTCTGAGCCTTTGTTGTACTTTAAGTCCTTCTCTGCATTGATGGACCGGACTATGGAGAATTTTCATCCTGGCTTTAGAGGTTCAGGAAGCAGTGGGACATTTCTTGGGAAGGAAGTGCTGGGAGGATTCTTCAGTGATAATTGTAATGGTGAGGAGAGGGCAGTTGTGGGGCTGGGTAAGCCTAGAAAGAGGCTGTTAAGTTGTATATTTGTGAGTGCTTGAGTGCCACCTATGTGTTTAATGAGGGGTGTGTGTGTGTTTGTGTGTGTGTATGTGTGTGTGTGTGTGTTTAGGGGGTGAAGACACGGTGCTTCCCTTCAAAGGTCTTATTAGCTTGTTCAGCAAATGTGAAGTCTGTAGTATGTGCCCAGGGCTATGATGGACACCTGGGATATAGTAGTGAGTGAGCAGAACACTGATGGATTTAGGGTCTAGTGGGGAAGTCATTTAATGATAAAGGATACTATTTTATGAAGGGAAAGCAGCTGGAGCTCTGGGCATGTGTGGTAGGTGGGTTTTCACCTCTTCCAGTGGCTGTAGGTACCAGAGGTGTGGGATGGCACTTGAGGGTCTTTGTGTTGGGGGAGGGAGTGTGTTTCAGGCAGAAAGAACTGAGACTCAGCAAGTGGATGAGGATGATAGATTAGGCTAGAGTCTTCATATGGCTCAGGTTATAAAGTTGGGATTTAGGACTTGATCCTAAGGACAATGAAAGATTGCTGAAGAGGTTGAACCAGAGATTTGGATTTTAAAAAGATCCTTGTAGCCTGGCGTGGTTGTGTGGGGTTGTAATCCCAGCACTCGGAGACCAAGTCAGGAGGATCCTAAATTCTAGCCCAGCTTGGGCAATTTAGCAACTCAGTGAGACTCTGTCTCAAAAATAAAAAATTAAGGGCTGAGGATTTAGCTTAGTGGTGCCTCCTATCTGCCTCACAAGTGCAAGGTCCTGAGTTTGATCCCCAGTACTGCAAACAAAACAAAACAAAACAAAACAAAAACAAAATAAAAAATAAAAAGGGCTGGGGATATAGTTCAGTGTGAAGACCCTTGGTTCATATCCCACCCAGTACCACCAAAAGAAAAAAGAAGTTCCAAAATGGTAGTGAGGACTGAGAAGGAGGTGGGTACAGAGAAGCTGTTTTGAGGCTGTCCTGTTAGTCTAGGGCAGCAATGGTAAGCCTTTGATAGCTTTCAGTGATATATACATCTCGCTGCAGCACACATGCCACAGGTGTGCCACCACTGCTCTAGGAGATATGTTGGTGGCATTGGTAAGGGTTGTGATGAGAAGGTAGAGAAGTGAGCAGATTGATATTTAGGGAGTGAAAGGACTGGATTTGGTGCCCAGATGAGGGAGATGAGGGAGGAAGGCTCCAGGGGGACCCCCACTCTAGGCTTGAGCCATGTGGGGTACCCTTCTCTCCTGGATCCCACCAAAGGCAGGGTGTGTCTGAGTCGAGAAAGTAGCGCTGGTCGTGGAGCTCAGAAGGAAAGGCCAGTTGATGGTACAGATTGGGAATCATTAGTGTGTAGGTGTAGAAGGATTTGTAGAACAGATACTGCAAACTGGTGGACCATGTCTTATATTTGGCATTCTGATATGCTTTTGTTTTTGTGTGTGTTTTGTTTTTTGGTACTGGGGATCGAACTCAGGACCTTGCACTTTCGAGGCAGACGCCGGAACCACTGAGCTAAATCCCCGGCCGTACACTTTTGTTTTTGTTGTGTGCGTGTGCGTGTGTGTGTGTGTGTGTGTGTGTGTTGTAAATTAGGGTCAGCAGTGAGTATTAGCTTTTACATGAAGATCTGGACTCTGGTTTCTTTTGAAATGAGATCATTTAGCAGCGCTGCTCCCATATCTGCTTTGCAGCCATGGCCTGGACCTGGAGAGTGGCTGCCCCATGAGATGGGGGACATGTGCAGTCTGCAGTGTGCTGCAGTCCCGCTCCTGCTGTGCTGTTCGCACAGCGATTCCAAAGTGCTGTACTTACTTCCTACTTGGCAGCGCAAGCCTTGGAGTCAGTGCTGCTACTGTAAAGTGAACTGAAGAGGGCCTAAAGCCTAAGGAGGCATCCCCCCCACCCCGCCCCATTTCAAGGGCAGGTAGAGGAGGAGGAAGCTGGGGGCATAGCATTGAGAGGGGGAAGGGGAGGCCTCTTGGCTGCTGAGCCTGGTCTTAGGCAGTAAGGAGGCATCCTTTTCAGGCCACCAGTAACAACTTGTATGGCTGAGGAGTGGGCAGAAGGAGATGGAGACAGGCAATGAAACTTGTGTTGAGAAGCCACAGCACAAACAGCACACCAACCCTGACTGCTGATTTGTCTGGACTCTGGGAAAACCTTCAACATAAGCAGCAGAGATCTTGTAGAACAGTGAAGGCTCTGGAGAGAAGTGAGAAAAGCCTAGAGAGATTGGATTGAGGATGAATATGAAGTGCTGTCTCTTTGCTAGGCACTGCACCTTATCTCATGTAGTCCTCAAAATGACCTTGTGTTTGTATGTAGAATTTCCCGAGTTTTTGTATTTTTGAGACAAGATTTCACGACAGAGTTTAGGCTGGCTTTGAACTCACTATGTAGCCCAGGCTGGTCTTGAACTTGCAGTGATCCTGTTGCCTCAGCCTCCTGAGTGATGGGATTGCAGATGGGTGTCAACACACCCAGCTTTAGATTTTCCTAGTTTTGAAACTTGGAGAGGTACATTTGCATGGCTGGTAAGTGGCAAAACTGGGGCTTGGATCTGGCTGTCACTCTGAATGCCTATATACACAAGTATTTTTACTCCCTGAGGATCTCCAGTTGTATCAGCAGCATTTGTTGAAAAGACATTTCTGTACTCATTGAACTGCTATGGAACTTTTGTAAAAAATCAGCTGGGTGTATTTTTAGCTGGGGGTATTTTCTGGGTCTATTTTTAGACTCCTTTTTCTGTTCCATTGATGTATAGATTTCTCTTTTTAGCAATAGCACACTGTCTGGATTATTGTAGCCTCATAGTAAGTCTTGAAGTTAATTAATTTAAGTCTCTAATTTAGCTCATTTAAAAAATTTCAGCTGAGCATGGTGTACGCACCTGTAATTCCAGCACTTGGGAGGCTGAGGCAGGAGGACTGCTGTGAGTTTGAGGTTGGCCTGTGTTACATAGTGAATTCAAGGCTAGCCTGAACTGAACATATTGCAACCCTATATATATATAAAAAAAGTGGGCCAGGGATTTAGCTCAGTGGTTTCACTGCCTGCTGTGCAAGTGCAAGGACCCCAGTTCGATTTCTGGTACCAAAAAAAAAAAAGTTTACTAGGTCAGCCAGGTGTGGTGGCACAATCCCTGATACTTGGGAGGCTGAGGTAGATATATCATAAATCTTAGGCCACAAGTTTAGATCATAAGTTTTAGGCCTGGCAATTTAACAAGTCTCAAAATAACAACTTAACAGGGCCAAGGATTTAGCTCAGTGGCACTGTGCCTGTCTTGCAAGCACAAGGTCATGAGTTCGATCCCTGGTACCAAAAAAACCCCCAAACAATAGTTTAACAATAGTCTCCTTAAGTTGCCCAGATGGCCTTGAATTTATAGTCTTCTGCCTTAGCCTCCCAAGTAGCTGGGATTACATGTGTACTCTACTGTGGTCAGCTAGTCTCTTTATTTTTAAAATTGAAAAAAACCTTTTTTTTGTGATACTGAGAATTGATCCCTGAGGGCCTTCACACAGAGCTACATCCCCAACCCTTTTTATTTTTAATTTTGAGATAGATTCTTATTAAATCACTAAGTTTCCCAGATTGTATTTGAACTCGGGATCTTCTTGCCTCAGCCTCCTGGAGTGCTGGGATTACAGACATGTGCCACCATGCCTGGTTTGCAATTGCAATTTTAGACATTGAATGGATCAGCACTTTGTGAGTCAGAATACTCTCCAGGCTGCCAGCCTGTGACTTCTGCCTTGGGGACAATCATTTTGGGGTCCTCATTTTTATCACATGAAGTGTTGAAGGCAGTCTGTAATTTGATCCGAACTCAATGATTCCTTGTCTCAAAAGAAGAAAATATCAAAGCCTTTATAAATGATAATAGCTTGAGAAATTGCCCAGGGCTTTCCATTCTGCACGTTGCTATCCTGCCTTTTCTCTGAATTCTTCTATCATCTCTGTGTAGGAGGCACTGGATCAACTTGGCCATCCACAGGAGAGCTCTAGGTTACAAAGCCAGGTTTTCTCACTCCAAATCTAGTGGCCTGCCCCAGCCCCCCTTCTCTTTCGTCTCTTTCTTAACTCTAGTGCAGCAGGGTCTGAAGGCCCTGGACACAGGCCTTTGGAGGTAAACATTTCTGGGGCACAGGGGAAGGCAGGTCCCCAGATGGAGTTAGAATTCAGCTTGGAGGAGAGGGGAAGCCTTTGTGATAGCTCTTTGGAGGGAGGAGTGTGGTGTGTGTTCCTCTTAGTTCACCAGTGCCTGGCTTAGTACCTGGTGCGCAGTTCAGTTTTGTGTAAGTAAATAAATAGATTGATCCTTTGAAGCGGCATCAGAAGGTTTACTATTTACTTGTGTGGTTCTGGGCTTGAACCCAGAGCCATTGCACTGAACTATATCCTCATCCATTTTTAAAATTGAGATAGGGTCTTTCTAAGCCACTGAGTTGCCCAGACTGAGCTTGAACTTGTGATCCTCCCACCTTGGCCACCAGAATGCTGAGATTACAAGAATGTGTCACCACACCCAGCTAGAATCAAAGGCTTTTGTTAGCGGTGGTTGAGAATTTTGGTGCAGGGGATTGTGCTTCGGGGCAGGCGACGGCACCACAGAGCTAAATCCCCGGCCCTTGATATGTCCTTTTAGAATGTTAAGATTGGAAGCAAAGATAATTTATTCTTATAATTTGTCTTAAAGATGGAACAGCTCACTGTGTTCTTCTTGTGTTTGATTCTGAGATCTAGGTTTTGATTAGTGTAATTGTCTCTCTGTGCAGTGTGTTTGAAAAAAGTCAAATACTATGGGTATAAGGAAGTTAAAGACAGCAAAGAGCTTTGTATGCATTTAAATCTTCCAAACAGATCCAAGTCCTTATCTTTTGGGGATGCACATTACCTATATAGAATGATAGAATGTCTGGGATTTCTTTCAGTGGGACTCTGTGGTTAATGAAGGAGGTAAAGATGATATAAGATTGGACCTAAGTTGGTGATTATTGAAGCTGGAAGGTGGATAGATGAGGTTTCATTGTAGTTATCTCTATTTTGTATGTATTTGAAATTTTCATTATAAATATTTTAAAAACACAGCATTTCATTTCATAGGCTCAGCAGCTCATTAGTTTGCGTCTTTCTGTGAGTTTAGGAAGGTCAGGGATGAAGTGGGCAAAGCACTGTAGACAGCACCAGATCCATCATAAGGCCAGATCAGATGGTTTTTGTTATTATCAGACAAAGATGGAGGAACTAAAGGGTGAGAGTGGACCTCAGTGAGAGAGTTCCAGGGACTATGTAACTGCAGAGCTAATTCATTTTAGAAACAGAACTCATAAAGACCAGACTGGACCACTTTGGGGTTTATAAGAACTATTACCAAATCACTGCCTTTAGAAAAACGAGCTAAGGAAGAACTTACAGAAGAAGGGCTTATTAAATCAGTGGAATACTATTTTATACCTGTAGACTTGGCCTCCTTCAAAAAGCCCATACCCAGAGATTTAGTAATCTCTCTTTGGAATGTGCTCTAAGTAAGTAATTCTGAAGAAGAAATGTTAATGTAGCCATTAAAAGTGATTATGTAATGCCATTGAGACAGCTTATGATGTAAACAGGCAAGATCCTACCTATGTTATGATCTCAAATATGCTATTATTACACATAATCATAAATGGACAGTGGGAAAGAGTATGGAGAAGTAAAACAGTTAATGTGCTAGGGTTGTAAATAGTAGCTTAGTTTTTCTTTAAGAAACCCTTTTGGGGGAGGGCAGTACTGAGGATTGAACCCCAGGGCATGAATCATACATGCCTAGCAAATGCTCTACCACTGAACTGCATTCCTAGTTTAAAAAACTCTTTTATTGTTGTTAAAGATTGTGCCAGAGCTGGGCTTGGTGGCACACACCTGTAATCTCAACACTCTGGAAGGCTGAGGCAGGAGGATTTGAGTTTAAGGGCAGCCTGGGGAACTTAGTGAGATCTTGTCACACACCCAAAAAGATGTGGCTGAATGCCTACACATACACATTCAAAGCCCTTGCAAGAGTATCTTACTGTCCATGGTATGTGGGACCTGGGTAAGTTCTTTCAAAAATAAAAGTAATCAAACACCAGAAATCACTGGAAATCTGAAGGTTGTGATCATTTAGAGAAGAAATTGAAACCAAGACTTTCATTCTTTAACCATTCTGCTAAGAGCACCAAGCTTTGATGCGTCTTTCAGACTGGTGCTGTCATCTCTGAACATTCTTGAAATTGCTTTGTTTCCAGGTTCAGTTTCAGAAGCTTCAGCAACTGCGACTCACACAGTACCACGGAGGCTCCTTACCAAATGTGAGCCAGCTTCGGAGCAGTGCCTCAGAGTTTCAGGTACCAACGCATTGTACTTTCTTGATGCTGATGGAGTGTAAAGAGATAGGTAGAGATTAGCCCTAAAAGGATTAGATTTTGAAGGATAAATAGGGCCTAGATACATTTCAGCTTTCTGGGAAGTCTGTCACTACTCACTTTCACAGTTTCTCTGCATAGTTCTGACGTTTCACAAATAGTCAGAGGCAGCACTATCACTAGGAATATAATGTGAAAAGCCCTCCTTATCAAGTGTAAGGCCCTGGGCTTAATCCACAGCACTGCCAAACAAACAGAAATCGTGTTGTATATAATGTGAGTCTCATATGTAATTTATAATTTTCTAGTACCACACTAAATAATAAATGGGTGGAATTATTATTATTGTTTTTTTGGTACTGGGGATCAAACTTGGGTCCTTGCTCTTGCATGGCAGGCGACGGAACCACTGAGCTAAATCACCGGCCCAGTTGGAATTAATTTTGATGTCATTTAAGTAATCTGAATAATTATTTAACCCAGTATGTACAAAATAAATCATTTCAACATGTAACCAACATAAAAGACATGATATATTTCACATCCTTTTTTTTTTGTACTAAGTCTCTGAAAATTTTGTGCAATTTATGCTTAAAGCATATGTCAAGTGGGATTGACCGCATTTCACTACATTCATGTGACTAATGGCTGCCTCATGTACAGCACAGGCCTAAGGTGTAGATAAGTGGTCTGTAGTGCATTTAGATTAGAGCAGTGTTGTTCAGTGCTTTAATCATTTACTTCAAGAGCCTTATTCAAAACAATGTGAAATTGGTGTTTCAGACAATGGTATCTGGTACTGTTGTGTTAAGATCTAAATTAAACCTAGTTTGGAATCCTGGTCCCTGAAAAATTAGGAGGTGGTCATTCTAATTACACAATTTAAGATTTGGTGTTAGAGATACAAACTTAAAGTTGAAGCATAACTTGATTTAATAGGTTAAGCATCCTGATCTAAAAATCCAAAATCTAAAATGTTCCAAAGTATTTTGTATTCACCACAACTCAGTTTCTAAAATAAAGAAAATCATGATTTTTAGAAGGAAGAGGCATTCAAAAAAATCAAGTTATAAATAAGGCTCTTGAAGTAAATGATTTTTTTTTTTGGTACCAGGGATCGAACTTGGGATCTTGCACTTGCCAGGCAGGCGGGAGAACCACTGAACTAAATCCTTGGCCCTTTTTATTTTTAATATTAAAAACTATTATTATTATTATTATTTTTTTGGTACTGGGGATCGAACTCAGGACCTTGCACTTTCGAGGCAGACGCCGGAACCACTGAGCTAAATCCCCGGCCGTACACTTTTGTTTTTGTTGTGTG